AAGCATAAGATAAAAAAAATAATAATAGATGTTATTTTTAGCTTAATAATCCTGCAGAAGAAGACGACTAAAATACATTTTCAATAATTTTCCACAACAACAACAAATCTTATTGAAACTGCACATTGTAATATATACATACCTAAATAAAAGAAAAATCTGGATTTCTTTTGTTGGTCTGACCCCGCACTCATTTGTTCTACACTGAGTGATACTTGTAGGTCATCCATTTGTGTTCGAAAATAGCACAAAAGTGTTTTCAAATTGCCTATTAGCATTTTCGAAAGCAATAATTGTTCGAGTTTTGCGATACCCAGACAGTATTCATGTGAAGCTAGCGTTTAACTTTTTACGAAATTTTTTCCGTAAGACTTCATAAAAATTGAAAACAATTCGGGAAAGGTCATTAAAGCTCACACGGTGTTTAAATAACTTTGAAGTGATTTGTTTCCTACTAAACAATAAAATATCAATATTAATCCCGGCGCATCCGCCATTTTTGAAAGAATATTAAAAATTAATTATTGGATTAAACATCACTGCAAAAGCCGAATTTTCTTTTTTTTGTCAAAACAGCTAATTTTCGGACATATTTTACATTTTAATGCATTTTTATCAAATTTAATATTTTAACAACTCTAGTGTTTTCGCCATTTTAATAAAATATACACAGAGAGAAAAGTTTACTTTGATTTATATTACTATTTGGGACAACTATCTTGTTTATTGCTAGATACTATGGCTATTTAGTACTTTTAAAATATCCTTTTATGTTAAACCTTAAGGTAAAATATTATTATTCTCAACCAATTTTGTTTTAAATTCTTATTATAATTAGATTTTTTCCATTACTAATAAGTATAGTAAATTTTAAAATATTATGTTGCCATTTTTAAATATAAAATATTTTAAAATCGAATATTTTTATATGTTAACAATTAAAAATTGTAACATATTTATTGTACTTTTTAATATACAAAAATGTTATGAGAAAGAATTGAACCTACACCTCGCCAAAGTTTTTTGTTTTGAGTGCGTTCCATCAACTTCAAATACCGACAGACAGGTGTTTTAACCTATATTGGGCATCATCAATGTCGACTCGACACTGTCGAGGAACTTGTAGTAGTGAAACACACCCAAAACAAAAGAAATACCTGAGCTTATATAATATGGTTGGTAAGCCAACAGAGGCGAGATGTAAGAACCATCACGTGATCCACACCGTCTAACGACGCGTCGCGACGTGGCCTTTGCCGCAATCGGTACATACTATGCAACCAAGTAGGTTCAATTCTTTCTTATAAGTATTACCAGTAATGGGTCAAGAAAGTTTATTGAAGAAACTAAGAAAATTGAATGTTTTAAAATGTCATGAGTTACTATATTATCTTTATTAATGTGTAATATATTATAATATTAGATGTACACCTTACATTTGATTAAATCATATAGTAAATATTACTATTTGTAGATAGTTAAATAAATTTACTATACGAACATATTAAAAATTAAAATATATATTGTACAATTATGATTTAGTAAAATTGGTGTTGTAATCTTTACTAAAATTGTATAATAAAAAAATAGTATTTTTTATTACAATCCTAATATTGTATTGACGAATATATAATATTGTTACCCTAAAAATTTGTTAAAGTAAATTTTACTATATTTTTTTTACTATCTAAAATTTACTATACATTTCTCCCCGTGTAGTTTTCTACAAAAATGTTAAAATTTTACAAAATAAAATTAATAAACTACAAACTTATGTTTATAAACCTGATTTTTGAGGTAATAATTAGCATATTATCATCCTTTGAAATTATTTTATTGATAAACCCATTTATTAACTTTGATTTACTGATTTAATTGCATTTTATTCCACGTGATCCAAATCAATATATCACCCGGTAACAAAAATCATTTTAACCATATGTAATAATAAATTTTATTATTACCTTCGGATTATTTTAGCAAGCAGCGAAAATAGACCTTTGATTTTTAATTGAATTTATTTTTATATAAAAAGGTCAACAAATATGTAATTTTAGAATTGACTTTTATTTTAAGTCTACCACGAAATATTACTAGAACAACTTACAAATGAATATTACAAGAAAATATTGCACGGGCTGAAGTTAGCAACAGGTTTTTAGTCACGGGCTGAAGTTAGTTTTAAGTTAGTTGACAGTTGTCAAATGTCATACAACGTTAAAATAAATTAGCGTTCTTGTAATGTGAAAATTATTTTATTATCTCAATACAAAAATACAAAAGTATTAAATAGTTTCTCAACGCCAATATTTGAAAAGTTTATATGAACATTGCACTGACCTTTTAATTTCGCCGGCAGTAAACTATAACTTAAATTCGGACACGGACTCCACTGTAAAGTGCTCATAAAACATTTTCTTTACTTACACTGTGAAAAACTGTCAATTTTCAAGAAATACATTTCGATTTATAACCTTTATAATCTGTGTTTATAAAATATAAAAAGTTGACATTTGACGGTGACACACAGATTCCCCTATTGTTTCATAGATGGCGCTCTATACAAATTTTTGATTTAAATCATTTTAAGATAATAATAAGTATTTGTCGTAGAAAAAGTATAGTATCCAACTCGTTTATAAACTTTTCTATACACTTAATATTTATTAATGCTCATTTCTACATTTTTTATTAAAATGTCGCAATATTAAAAAATATTGCGCAAAATAGTTAATCCAATGCTTTAAACATTTAAACTTAACTTTAAATATTTGAAAATATTAACAAAAAAAATAATAAGGAAACAAAAATTCTATATTTTATTTACATTTTTACAATAACTCGCGTATTCTAAGAATAATAAAAATAAATTCTTAGAACTATAATAAAATGTCGAATTTATACATATGTATTTCTCTTACCAATAGATTTTAAAAAGGTTATTTACCAATAAATTGTTCTCAGAATTTGTTTTAATTCAAAAGCTTATATAAAAATATGATATTAAATATCTCTTTTATAGAAAACAAAATATAAAAAATATTATTTTTTTAATAGATAAAGGTCTATTTTAAGGACTGTTTTATAATAAAAACAAATTTCTACAAACATAACCACTTGGTATATATAATAAGTTTGGTCCAATTTTTTTTAGTTTTATCAGTTAAAATAAACTTTAAATAAAATGTCGAAACTTTTTTGTTTTTATTTATATCACACCTTTTTTGTCTCTTGCTTGCGAATTCGTGATCGAATTTTAACTTTTTTAACTTGAATGGATCAGAAAAGGCATTTCCTTTCAAATGAGTAAAAAAAAATTAATTATCTTATTTCTATTAATTAAATTAAATAATTAAATAATAAATATTTAGATTATTTAGAATTATAATAATATTAGTTGAGATTAACATTTTTGTTTTTGTTTAGTTCTTTTAAAATTATTTTATAATTGAATTTAATTTAAATGTTTATTTAATCATGGCATTGTTTTCTCAATATGCGCATTAAATACCAAAACACTGTAAAGTGCTCATAAAACATTTTCTTTACTTTCACTGTGAAAAACTTTCAATTTTCAAGAAATACATTTCGATTTATAACCTTTATAACCTGTGTTTATAAAATATGTTTCATCTATTGTTTCATAGATGGCGCTCTAAACAAATTTTTGATTTAAATCATTTTAAGATAATAATAAGTATTTGTCGTAGAAAAAGTATAGTATGCACCTCGTTTATAAACTTTTCTATGCACTCATTAATTTAAGCCTAAATTAAATTCGTGTATAAAATGGCGTTTATTAAAACTTGATACATAATATACTATAACGTTAAAATAATTTTAAAGTTATTTTTATAGAAAATCTAACTTCATATCACATAACTATACAAAGTAAAAAAATATTTGTTAATTTTAACCAAATTTTAACTAGATTTTATGTTAATCTTGGTCCACAAAACTTTATGTTAAGTTACAACCAACTGTATTCTGTTAACTGATTGAATAACTAGTTTGTAATTATTAATTATTTTGTAGATTTAATAACAAAATCCTATGTCAATATTTTAACCATAATTCTTGTAATTTTGTATTTTTTGAAACCTTTTTGTGAAATTTAGCTTGCCTTAAAAATAAAGTTTTATTACTTAATCCTATATTAAAATTAAAAAAATAAAATATATAATAACACGTATTCTAATAAATTTATACAGGGTGTTTCTTTTTCGGAACCATTACAATATACATTAGGGTGTTTAAAAAAAAGAATTATTGTATTTTTCTAATGGTGTTGAAAAATTAATAGTACATTAACAAACAAAAATTTTGCCGCCTATTAAGGTTTGCCTCAATTCATTTGTGGTTTTTCCATTTCAATATCACGCGGGAATTTTTATTTTTTTAATTTTGAATTCTTATAACTTTGGAATGGTTTGTTTTCGCAAATATTTATATAGTATATACAGTCTCAGGTTAACAGAATTAAAGTGATTTTACATAAAAAATTATATAAATTTGGCATATGATATTTTTTTGTATTTTATTTGAAAATATTTGAAATTTTTTATTAGTGATATCTTTGAAACGGTTGATCTGAAGAACTTGACCTTCAGATGTTTTTTGTAGAGCGTGAAATTGTCTATAACTCCTCTCGCTTGGGTGTTGCGAAAACAAACCATTCCAAAGTTATAAGAATGCAAAATTAAAAAAAAATAAAAATTCCCCTGTTAATGAAATGGAAAAATAACAAATGAATTGACGCAAACCTTAAAATTAATATTTAATTTTTCAACACCATTAGAAAAAAACAATAATTGTATTTATTTTTTTTTAAACACCCTAATATATGTATATGTGTGAAAACGTAATATTTTTCTCTCGAGCGTGATAAACGCAGCCAATTAAAAAAACCATACAAAACAAATATCCGTTTGGGTATTGGCTCGCGCCGCATCGCGCGCTCAAAACCAAAATAAACCGCCGCTCACGATTATTTTGTTGCAGATCGTCACCCAGGACACCGCGAGCGACCAAATGGCCAATCCCGGCTGCCAAAGAAGGACTCCGTCGTACGCCTCGAAAAGCTATCCGTCTTCGGTGGCAAAATTTTCCGCTATGCTGGTTCATGCGCGGCGCGACGGGCCGCGAGCCTTCGAACAGCCGCACACGTGCGGCGGCTCGCGCGACAGTGAGACCTCGCTGCCGAAGAGGTCCTCAAACCCCGTGAAGAGCGGGCGCGAGGCGTGCGGGTGTCGATAAAAGACTCTCGACGCCCGATGTCGATGCATTTTACGCTAAACCTCATCCCACCGTGTGCCTGACGCCGAAACAGCCGACGCTCGACACGGTCAAAGCGAATGTTTATTTGAGCCACCCGGAGGTTAATTTTCCGATTCCCGTGCAGCTGCCCAAAGAAGATTGTGATAAACTTTACGGTAACAAGATTTTCTTACAACAATAATACTAATAATACTAATCCTGCTTAACACATGTGTTTTTTAAGTTTTATTTTTTTTTAAATTACATATTTTACAATGCAATCTTATATAAAATAAAATATACCCCTTCAATTAAGGGTTTAAATGTTTAATTAGAAATACAAAAGTTTTTTCACAAGGTTGAACATTTGTTTAAAAAAGAAAAAAAGTTAAATTTCATCAAAAAGAGGGAAAAAAACTTAAAAATAATTTTATAAAAAAAGCAATAAAAGTTATAATAATAAATAATAATAATAATAAAAAAAAACAAGAAAAACGGAAAATATTTTCATTTTTGGATAAAAGGGCAACAAAAAATTTAAAACTACTGTCAAAATTAATTGAAAAATGCAAAATAAGTTTATATTTGTAATAAAAATATTTTTTTAATAAATACAAAAGTTTGAAACTTTATAAATGAAAAATAAAGTTAAAAATTCTTTTAATAAGGCAAAAAGTTTAATAAATTTAAATGATTATAAAATTTGCTGACGAGCCCTACAAAAAAATATTGATAAATTTAATTAAAAAAAAAAGATTAATGGTTTAAACATATTTTTAAATTTTACTAAAAAAGGCAACAAAAAATTTAAAACTACTGTCAAAATTAATTGAAAAATGCAAAATAGGTTTCAATTTTTAATGAAAATATTTTTTTTTAATAAATACAAAAGTTTGATGCTTCATAAATGAAAAAGAAGGTTCAAAATTCTTTTAAAAATGCAAAAAGAGGTTAAAAAACTTAAATGATTATTAAATTTGATGACTAGCTAGCTCTATTTATAAAAAATATTGATAAATTTAAATTATTTTTAAATTTGTCTAAAAAAGGCAACAAAAAATTTAAAACTACTGTCAAAATTAATTAAAAAATGCAAAATAGGTTTAAAATTTTGCTAAATAAATATTATTATTATTATTATTATTATTATTATTATTATTATTATTATTATTAATATTATTATTATTATTATTATTATTATTATTATTATTATTATTATTATTATTATTATTATTATTATTATTATTATTATTTTAATGAAAATATTTTTTAATAAAAACAAAATTTTGATGCTTCCAAAATGAAATTTAAAGTTAAAATTTTTATTAAAAAGGCAAAAAGTTTAAGAAATTTAAATGATAATAAAATTTGCGGACTAGCTTAATATAAAATATTTAAAACTGCTGTCAAAATTAATTGAAAAATGCAAAATAAGTTAAAATTTTTAATAACATTATTTTTTTAATAAATACAAAAGTTTGATGCTTCATATATGAAAAATAAAGTTAAAAATTCTTTTAAAAAGGCAAAAAGAGGTTAAAAAACTTAAATGATTATAAAATTTGCTGACTAGCTAGCTCTATTTATAAAAAAATATTGATAAATTTAATAAAAAAAAAAGAAAAAAGGTTTAAAAATATTTTCAAATTTGAATAAAAAAGGCAACAACAAATTTAAAACTACTGTCAAAATTAATTGAAAAATGCACAATATTTAAATTTGTAATAAAAATATTTTTTTAATAAACACAAAAGTTTGATGCTTCATAAATGAAAAAAAGGTTCAATAATCTTTTAAAAAGGCAAAATGGTTAAGAAATTTAAATGATCAAAAGATTTGCTATTTAAAAAAAAATATTGATAAATTTAATTAAAAATATTTTCAAATTTTACTAAAAATTTAAAACTAGTGACAAAATTAATTGAAAAATGCAAAATAGGTTTAAATTTTTAATGAAAATATTTTTTTAATAAATACAAAATTTAGATGCTTCATAAACGGCAAAAAAAGTTAAAAATTCTTTTAAAAAAGCAAAAAGGTTAAGAAATTTAAATATTTATAAAATTTGCTGACTAGATCTGTTTATAAAAAAATATTGATAAATTTCATTAAAATACTGAAAAGGGTTTAAAAATAATTTTACATTCAACTAAAAAAAGCAAAAACAGTTTAAAAATAATGTCAAAAAAAATAAAAATGGGTTTAAAATTCTAAATGATAATAAAAGAAAGTTCCAAATTTATTTTAAAATGCAAAATATAAGTTAAAAAATTTAAATGATTATAAAATTTGCTGACTAGCTCTGTTTATAAAAAATATTGATAAATTTAATTAAAAAAAAAAGAAATAGGTTTAAAAATATTTTCAAATTTGACTAAAAGAGGCCACAAATTTAAAACTACTGTCAAAATTAATTGAAAAATGCAAAACAGGTTTAAATTTTTAATGAAAATATTTTTTAATAAATACAAAAGTTTGATGCTTCATAAATAAAAAATAAAGTTGAAAATTCTTTTAAAAAGGCAAAAAATTTAAGAAATTTAAATGATAATAAAATTTGCTGACTAGCTCTGTTAATAAAAATATTAATAAATTTAATAAAGAAAAAAAGTTTAACTTTTTAATGAAAATATTTTTTTAATAAACACAAATGTTAAAAATTCTTTTAAAAAGGCATAAAGCTAAGAAATTTAAATGATTATAAAATTTGTTGACTAACTCTGTTTATAAAAAAAATATTGATAAATTTAATTAAAAAAAAAAAAAAATAGCTTTAAAAATATTTTCAAATTTGACTAAAAAAAGGCAACAACAAATTTAAAACTACTGTCAAAATTAATTGAAAAATGCAAAATAAGTTTAAATTTGTAATGAAAATATTTTTTTAATAAACACAAAAGTTTGATGCTTCATAAATGAAAAAAAGGTTCAATAATCTTTTAAAAAGGCAAAATGGTTAAGAAATTTAAATGATCAAAAGATTTGCTGACCAGCTCTATTTATAAAAAAATATTGATAAATTTAATTAAAAATATTTTCAAATTTTACTAAAAAAGGGCAACCAAAAATTTAAAACTAGTGTCAAAATTAATTGAAACAGGCAAAACAAGTTTAAATTTTTAATGAAAATATTTTTTTAATAAATACAAAAGTTTGATGCTTCATAAATGAAAAAAAGGTTCAATAAGCTTTTAAAAAAGCAAAATGGTTAAGAAATTTAAATGATTATAAAATTTGCTGACTAGCTAGCTCTGTTTATAAAAAAATATTCATAAAGTTAATTAAAAAAAAGAAAAAAGTTTTAAAAATATTTTCAAATTTGGTTAAAAAAGGAAACAAAAAATTTCAAACTAATGTCAAAATTAATTGAAAAATGCAAAATAAGTTTAAATTTTTAATGAAATTTGTTTATAAAACAATATTCATATTTGATAAAATATGAGGCAAGAAATACTTTATAAATTAATTGAAAAATTAAAAAGAGTTTAAAATTTTAAATGATAATATTTTTTGACGTAATACAAAAGTTATATGCTTCATAAATGAAAATAAAGGTTAAGTAAAAAAAAAGGTTAAGAAATTTAAATGATTATAAAACTTGCTAACTAGCTCTGTTTATAGAAAAAAGTTTTAAAATAATATCAAATTTGACTAAAAAAGGCAAAAAAGATGAAAAATACTCTCCAAATTAATTAAAAATGCAAAATAAGTTTAATATTTAAAAAAAAAATTTTTGACTTATACAAATGTTAAATGGAAAAATACTCTTAAAAATACAAAAAATAAGATTTATGCCAATAATCTTTTTTTAAATAGTCAAAACTGACAAAATATTGTAAACAGGAATTTACAAGCCTAAAATCTTATAGATTAGTTTGTCCAGGGGTAGGTACTTAAACATATTTATTAATGAAACAATATTTTTTTCAATTAACATTTTTTATGTGTTTGATCTTGTATTTTAAAGACTAAATAAAATCATATTTGCAACAAATGACATTTTTGAGAATTATACGAGGTGTGTTCAGAAAATAACGGGTATTGTTAAATTTCGCGGGTTCGGAGGGTCCGGTTGTCATAAAATTTTCTTTATTATGTTGGTATACATGCCCCCGAAGTATGCTAAAAACTTTAACTGTTTTCATTGTTTACTTTGTCTGTGGCAGCCGCTAAGGTTAGACGTGTTTTATGAGCTCGGCGATTTTTCGTTCGTTTAAAGAAATGGATAAAAGAATTTGTATCCAATTTGGTTAAAAAATGAAATAAATTCTGTGGAATGTTAACAAAGGCCTATAGTGAGTCTGCTATAAGTAAAACAAGAGTTTACAAGTGGTATAAGAGTTTCCAAGATGGCCGTGAAGACGTTGAAGATGACGAACGCCCCGAACGCACAAGCACATTAACAACCGATAAAAACATGGAAAAAATGAAAGAAATGGTTATAAACCATCAGAGAAGTCGCTGATGATATTGGTATATCGATTGGCTCATCCCATGAAATTTTTTCGAATGTTTTGGGTATGAAACGCGTGGCAGCAAAATTTTTTCTAAAATTGTTAAATTTTGAACAAAATTTTTGGCCAAAAACAATACTGTAATGATGCCCCAGCCTCTATATTCGCCAGACATGCCTCTGTCTGACTTTTTCCTATTTCCAAAAATAAAGAGAACCTTAAAGGGCCGTCGTTTCGCAACATAGATGACATTTAAAGCGCATCGCTGAAAGAACTAAAGGCTATCCCAAAGATCGAGTTTTAGAAGTGTTTCGAGTATTGGAAGAAGAGCTGGCACATGTGCATAATATCCAATGGGGACTATTTTGAAGGCGACAACATTAATGTAGACGATTAAATAAATATTTGTTTCAAAAAACGAAAATTCCCGATATTTTCTGAACACACCTCGTATATACATCTGCCAATAATTTCTTTCCCCGTAGATTTTCGCCACAACACTGGTTAAACATTGAACTGCTAAAATTAAATTACATAAAAAATTTTTAGATATCAATGTTCGACATTGTTAATACGCTTTAAATTATCAATTACTGCTGAAATCAATTACACTCAAAAGTTCTTGTATGCAACAGCTTTAGTGGGCTCGTTTTTTTAATGAAATTTGTTCTTGTACACGGAGAGAAAAGTATAATGCTGATTGCCATAATTATAATACCCTTTACTATAATTTATATTACTATTTGGGACAACTATCTTGTATATTGCCAGATACTATGCATATTTAGTAAGTTTTAAATATCCATGTGTGTTAAACCTTAAGGTAAAATATTATTATTCCCAACCAATTTTGTTTTTAATTTTTATTATAATTGGATTTTTTCCATTACTAATAAGTATAGTAAATTTTAAAATATTATTTTGCCATTTTAAATATAAAATATTTTAAAATCGAATATTTTTATATGTTAACAATTAAAAATTGTAACATATTTATTGTACTTTTTAATAAACAAAAATGTTATGAGAAAGAATTGAACCTACACCTCGCCAAAGTTTTTCGTTTTTCGTTTTTGACCTATATTGGGTATCCTCAGTGTCGACACGACACTGTCGAGCAACTTGTAGTAGTGTAACACACCCAAAACAAAGAAATACCTGAGCTTATATAACATGGTTGGTAAGCCAATAGAGGCGAGATGTAAGAACATCACGTGATCCACACCGTCTAACGACGCGTCGCGACGTGGCCTTTGCCGCAATCGGTACATACTATGCAACCAAGTAGGTTCAATTCTTTCTTATAAGTATTACCGGTAATGGGTCAAGAAAGTTTATTGAAGAAACTAAGAAAATTGAATGTTTAAAATGTTATGTCACGAGTTACTATATTGTATATTATATTTGAATATATTGTTACCCTAAAAATTTGTTAAAGTAAATTTTACTATATTTTTTTACTATCTAAAATTTACTATACATTTCTCTCCGTGTGCAGTGCCAAAATACGCCGAACGCCCGGAAATCCGCAAATCCAACATAGACTACCACAAATTCAACGCGCTAGCCTACGAATCTCAGCCGCACTTCAAGGAGGAGCGCGCGCAGAAGTTCCTCCAGGATTTCGGCATCTTCGGGCCGATGGGCAACGGGGCGGCCACCAACCTCAGGAGAACCTCGAAGAACTCGGCGGAGGATTTGAATCAAATCAGGAGGAACTCCAAGAACGTCGTAGAGGTCAAGAGGAGGGTCTCCGGCCCGGGGGACGGGGAGTACTGGAAGTCCGTGGTGGTCAGGCTCAAGAAGGAGCTGACCGATTTGGAGGAAAAGTACGGGAACGTGCAGGGAGAGCTGTTCGAGACCAGAAAAGATTTGACTTGCAGGGAGGGAGACATATTGAAGCTGCAGCGGGAGGTACACAAACTTAAGGTAAGATATTATTTATTGTATCTCGTTTGTAGTAAACTGCTTGACTGTACGGTTAAATGGAGTACGTGATCGAATTTTAACCGGAAAACGCTGAGCGTAGATATTACACTGAAAGAAATTTGTTGCTAAAAGTAAACACAAATTTATACTAAAAATTTTATACTAGTGCTTTACACATTTATACTACTGTTTATTATGAATGTATGTTAAATTTTGTAATACATTTATTGTAAAGAAGATATGTTAGATCTAAATAAAAATTAACTTACCCTTACTATAAAATGTAAACTATAAGTGAATTACAGCAAAAAAATATTGCTAGAAACACATTTATATTGCTAGGGCAGCAATAGGCTGCTAACCAAACGAATATATTTGTTTTAGCAATGTATGTGGTAGTCCAAATATGAAACATAAAATATATTTGCCCTAATTATTTTTTTATTTAACTTTAGTATATATTTCTTTCAGTGTAACAGCGTCATCAAGATTCCTGCCTGCTTCTCCATAAATCAAAATCATTTCTATTTTTTCTTCCATTATGAATAACTGCTTAACGAAAGGAGGTCTTTTTGTTTAAAAATTAATCTTCGAACTAAATTAATTAAATAATGCTAAACTATGTAAATAGTTTCTCTATACCTCAATAATAATTATTATTTATAACTAAATACCATTTTTTTTCAAGCGGCCATGATATACAACCTTATATGCATGTATAGAGATAGTTGAAGTGCGTCTTTTTCATTAGCGGCAGACAAAAAACTCAAAAAAGCCTAGGGATAGAAGTAAATCCATAGGTGTCTCAATAGACGTCAAATAATAAAATTAATTTAGCATTTCATACTAAGCAATCACGATGTATTAATTATATTAATTATAATCGCACGGAATATTTAGGGATTATTTATTAAATTTTAATTGAACGAAATAAAGAACAACTAGTTTATTAGTATAATATTATGATGATAGACGAGTTGCCAATGTCGGAACTCCAAACAAATGTCAGTACGTCAAAATTAATTCAAGCGCAGCATTTTGACAGAGCAGGGTTTATTTTTTGTTTAGGATATTTATCGGCATTGTAAGTAAGGGTTATAAGTTTTTTTAGTTTTTATCAATAATTTCTAATGTTTTAGCCAAAATTTTATACCACATGAGTTAAGAGGAAATAAAATAATTCCATTGCTTATCCTATTTATATTACGCCCTTGAAAAAAAATTGTATATGTTATTTGGAGTAGAAGCTCTTTTTGTGCTTCGTACAGTTGCCTGCCTCAGCTACGCTTCGGCCGTCAATCTCTGTACTCACCACAAAAAGAGTCGCTTCTACTCCTTATGACATAATCTACTATTTTTTATACCTCAATTAGGTTTAAATTAATTAATTGACAAAATAATGTTTTTTTAATCTTAAATGAGGTATTTTTATTTAAAATAGTACAATAATTATTTAATAATTTAATGCTTAATGCTGGCAGAAAAAAAGTGACCATGGTGAGCAATTAATAATTATCACCGAATGAAATAATGCATTATTTCATTCGGTGATAATTATTAATTAAAGTTAAAAAATCTAATTATTAGAGTTAATTTGTATTGTTTTCCCCAAGTAAGCAAGTATGATTTAACACTATAGCACTGAGGATAATAGTATATTATTATACGAGCATATAATGAGGGCTATTATTCACGAAGGTTAAGTTTCGCTACGCTCGTGACATAATTAACCTGAGTGAATAATAGCTCATTATATGTGAGTAGAATACTATGCTTTGTCCACGACTACTATTGACTTTTAACGGATTGTAATGCAAAAAAACTTTATAGTTATTATAACCTATTTGACATTAACAAAACCAAAAATTAAAGATGCCTGTGACTATTTTTAAAACTATTTATTTATATTAATTGTAATATATATATATATATATAAAATATAAAAGTAAAACTGACTCTAAGAATTAATTAATTTTCTTGGTCGCTCTCCAGTCCATAAAGGTGTTGTACAAATTTCGGGATTTCTCAGGCAACAAATTCAGGGAAGTGACTTTTGCAGCTTCTGTTATCTTCGGTGGAGTACACAATATCTCTTCCTCACTATCAATTTCCATTGTTAACGTATTTTTGAAAGCAAATTATAATTTTAACAGGAATTATTATTGCACCGTTAAAATTTGACGTTTCAAATAATTATTAGTTGTCAGTTGATTACATGGCTTCCTACTTGATAATTCTATTATTTATAGATTATGCAGTATTTTATTTCCAATGAATGTGATTTTTTTAGGTAATTCGTATTTCAAAAAGTGACTTCTGTGATGTTTTGTTGAGTGCGTTACATCTCTTCATCTTTCACGCTTTGATTTTTTATGTATAATTTAAGCTTAATAATAATTTGTAACAAAAATCGTGTGCTGGATCGAACTTATGACGTTTCAAATTGACAGCAATTTATGCTAAGCTTGTCATGTTATGTCAATGGCTTACTTACTTGAAATAGTCTACTTAATGTTAAATTTTTATTCAATTGCATTAAAAAAACATATTAATAGTAATACTTTAACAAGACTTTTATGATTGGTATAAAGTTAGCTAATTAAAGTGCCTGGCTATAATTGCCTAGACGAACTGATAAGTGCTTGCCAGATACAATCTATATCGTGTGTCCTATAGGAACTCTAGACCAGTAAATAATGATTATTCACTGCTATTATTCACTCTGTGAAATATGACTATCATTTTGCTTTAGAAAACTCATTTATAAAGTATTTATTATAAGGTAGTCGTGGATAAAGTAATTTTACACTGTATTAAAAAGTGTTAATTTACCTAAAATCGTGTACTTCTACACTTCCTTCCTTTTGTTCAGTGTAAATTAACACTACTTTGGAAAAGTTCTAATTTTAGAAAGGTACTTTTACTCTTTTAGTGCAAACTTCTAGTAAATTAACACTATTATTTGAGTAAAACCTATTGGTGGTAGTAAATAAAACGAAAAGGTAAATAAAGAGAAACATATATTTGGAACAAAAATCTATGAAATTCATCAGTAATCCATTTTTCTGTTATAAAAAATGGGTGATCCCATTGGTAGAAAGGCGTCAGGCCGCTGTATGTCGGGGATTTACCACATGTGGTACACATGTACGTGTACAAATTTTCCATAATATTAATAAAAATGTAGGTATAGGTTAATATAACAACCATTACGCTTAAAAATAAAAAGTAAATCAAGTATGTATTTATATTATTAATGTTACAAGTACCCGACCTACGGCCGTAGATTATTGATATATAATATAGGTCGGGTTTGGACATCCTTTTAACATATTGGTATTTATTGAGTATTAAGGCTTAAAGAAAAAGGAAGTATAATACTTACCAAAAAATAAGAATGTCCTCTTATGGATTCACCGTAATTAAAATGCCACACTTCCACAACGCGGTATCTCCAGATTTGCACTGCGTAGGTAGATAGGTACCAACCAAACATTTTAAAAGGCATTTCGGATATTACCAATTTTTTCAGTGTATTTTGCCGCCATTTGTGTAATTTAACTTTAATTGTGATACAATGTGCACTAGTATACTAGTGTAAAGAAAAAAGAGATCTTAGTAACATCAAAACAGACAAAGAAATTGGCATGCACTGTAGTGTACATTTTGTCACTATTTAACATATTAAGGGGTAATAAACAAGGTACTTTTTGAAAATTACAAGAATAATGGTGGAATTAATTAACTGTATTAAGGTATATATGTCAATAAATAAATAATAACATGTGAAAACAATTGCAGGCCTATTTAATCCCTAATTGCCAAGATGAATGCATGAAAATATTCTGCAGTATATAACATACAATTTAAAGAGAAAATTAACATTTTTCGTGCTATAAATATCGATTTCTTATAACAGGAAAAAACAAGCCATTAAATACTTTTTCTTCTGGTGTGCATAATTCGCTACGAAATTAACAGTGGCGGCTGGTCAGTTGCGGCAGGTACCATCAAAAATCAGAAAGAAAAATTTTTTACATTAATTTCTTTTCAAAAGATTTCCATTTATGTTAATATTAAATTTTCAGTGTCTTATTGGAACAAAAACCTACGATTTGTCAAAGTAATGAGATTATTTTTATTTACAGAATAAACTTTTTTACTGTTAATAAAATTCTCATTTACTATTATAAAGCAGCAATGTTGAGCTTTTATTAAAAAAAATGTTCATCCAACAAAGTAATAGTTCTTATCATATTGTCATGGCAATAAGAAATACTTTATGTTTATATTAAATCTTTGTCGAACTTAAAATGTTTTTGTTAAATCTATAGTTGTGTGTGAATTGCACTTACATAAAGTAATGCGCAGTTGTTATAGTAAAATTTGTTCATTTTACTATGGCATATTTGTCTATTTTAAATTACTATCATTATAATTCAAATTAATTTTATTTCAGTTAGAAAATCTTTGCCAATAGCGTTAAGAACAATAACAACAATATTTTATTGCCATACATTTTTTTAACACTTACTGATATATTCCGTAACTTTAACCCACTTCACTGTATCCCCTAATATGAGTTTGAAACTCTAAAAATGACTAATTTAATAGTTATTAGTGGCTGCTTTTTCACTTGTACCGTGGTTAACCATGGAATACCATGGTATCCCAAAATTTAACAGCCAATTCTTATGTAAAATTGTCCCCTGAATTCGAAAATACCGTCAAAAATTATTAAAGTGGAGCAGTTTTTGAGATATAGTCAATTCCATATAAAATGGAAAATTTACTATATCTCAAAAACTGTTCTACTTTTTTAAATTTTGACGACATTTTCGGATTCAGGGGACAATTCTACATAAGAATTGGCTGTTACATTTGGGGATACCATGGTACAAGTGAAAAAGCAGCCACTAATAACTATTAAATTAGTCATTTTTGACTAATTCATTTTTAGTGAATTCAAGTTCATTAATTTTAATGTTTTCAAGTCATTT